TAAAACATGTGCTCATAATACAAACATTTAGATATAAAACATGTGCTAATAATACAAACATTTAGATATAAAACATGAGCTTATAATACAAACATTTAGATATAAAACATGTGCTTATAATACAAACATTTAGATATGAAACATGTGCTCATAATACAAACATTTAGATATAAAACATGTGCTTATAATACAAACATTTAGATATAAAACATGAGCTTATAATACAAACATTTAGATATAAAACATGTGCTTATAATACAAACATTTAGATATGAAACATGAGCTTATAATACAAACATTTAGATATAAAACATGTGCTTATAATACAAACATTTAGATATGAAACATGTGCTCATAATACAAACATTTAGATATAAAACATGAGCTTATAATACAAACATGTAGATGTAAAACATGTGCTCATAATACAAACATTTAGATATAAAACATGTGCTTATAATACAAACATTTAGATACAAACAAAAACGTACCTCGTAGCCTTCACCAGGGGAATGCAAAGCTCAGTTGGTCTTAGTTTCCTTTACACCAAACATTTGAGTTCTGCTAACAGTTGTTTTACATCCATTAATTAGTGCACTGATTGCTGTCAGCTTTTATAAGGCTGGCCCTTATTAGCTATGGCATCCCGTGAGGTACAAAAAAAATAATTGAAAACTACAAAATACAATGAAATAAAAACAGTACATTTACAACCAAACACAGTCAAAAACAGACAAACATATACAAACGATCTGCACAGTTTGGAAATTCATTTTTAAATAATTTACAGTCTGTTACACTATAAAAAATATATATATATATGTATATACAGGTCCTTCTCAAAAAATTAGCATATTGTGATAAAGGTCATTATTTTCCATAATGTAATGATAAAAGTGAAACTTTCATATATTTCAGATTCATTGCACACCAACTGAAATATTTCAGGTCTTTAATTGTTTTAATACTGATGATTATGGCATACAGCTCATGAAAACCCTAAATGCCTGTCCCAAAAAATTAGCATATTTCATCCCACCAGTGAAAGACAAGTGTTTTTAAAACAAAAAACACCAACCTTCAAATAATCATGTTCAGTTATG